GTGAGGGAGACGAAGAAGAAACGACGGAGATGAACTTTCTGGTTGTGAGGGAGAGACCGGGATGAAGACTGGGATGGACAACGAGATAGTGAATGAGGGAGGGGAAGGACCGAGACCGGGAGGGAAAGGAGGGGAGGGCTGGATTTGATTTCTTTTTTTAAATTGAGGGTAACTTGGTAATTTTATAAAACAAAATAAGGGGAGGGGTCAGAAATCTGAGATGAAGGGGGGTAAAAATCAAAAGGGGGTCAAAAGTCCAAAGTAGTTATTGGAATGGGTCAAAAATCCCAATTTCCCATGGGGTGTGATTTGGTCTATTTCAAAGCCATTGGAGGAAGTTGAGGAAATTCAAATAAGTTTTTTCAGTTTTGAAAAAGGATAAAATATATGGCTTTATTTCCAAATATTTTGGAGTTTTTTCAATTTAGCCTCTTTGTTTAAAAAAAATATAGTCTTTTTTTTTATATAAAAATTAAGCTAAGATCACGTTATACATTTACTTGTCAAAATAATACATAAGAAACCATAGAGGTCAGATTATGACAACAGGGACGAAATACCTGGCAAATGTTGCGTGTCTAAATGAAGTTGAGGCGTTGGCTGTTTTGAAAGAGCTTCACTTGACAATGGAGGTGGGGATTTGTCCAGTTCATGTAGAGATCGATTCAGTGCGCGTCTTTCAACTTTTGATTCGAGAGGAAGACGACCTATCAGAGACGAGTTTGATTATTAATCGGGCAAAATCATATTACTCTATAAACTTGCATGCATCTTACCTTTTCACCCAGTGGGACAAAAATGGAGTCGCACACTTGCTAGCGCAGAGGGCCTTGCATCGTCAAGAACAAATCGTATGGATGGAGGAGTGGCCGACGGAGATATCGAAAATTCTTGCATATGAATGTCGTGACGTTTTATTTTAGTGTGTTTTATATTTTCTTTCAAAAAAAAAGAGAAAATTAATTTATAGGTAAGTGGCCGAGTTTGAAGCCATTCACTTTAAATCTTTTTTATTTACAACTTCCTTCGATCACATGTTACAGTTATAGCCTTTTACCTATGATATTTTTTCTATATTTTACTTATTTATTATGTTTAGCATTATTCAATTTATTTAATGAATTTGTAAAAATGTATAAGAGAGAAAAAAAAAACCATCTAAGTAAGTAAATTTGAAATTTTTACCTTTTACCTTTCACATATTTTAAATTGACGTTGATACTTAATTAAACCATAGGAATTAAATTTAAAAAAAGACTAAACTTTGCTGACTAAAACATACATTTAGTCTTAAAATACATAAAAGTTTAAATCTTATTTTCATCCTTACCATTTTCATATGGTTCAATTTTGGTCCTTGAAATGGTAAAATTTTTATTTTTGTCTATAAACTTAAAAAATCTAATTAGTTTGGTCTTCGGACTTTTAAAATGTCTTGTTTAATCCATAAACTTTTAAAAATTAATTGTTTTGATTATTACTATTGTTACGTCACTTAATATCTGCAATCTGTGTGACTTCATTACATTTCCACATTATTACTTTTTTTTAAACATTAATAAATATTTTCAAAGCAGCATCATTACTTGTTAGAAGTAAAATAAAGTTATGGGCAAAAATAATTATTTCACCCGAGTTAAAAAATTAAAATAGACCATTATTTTTAAAGTTGAATGACTTATTAGACCGGGCTTAAAAAATTTGGGGATTAAACTTGTAAGTTAAATCTTTTTTCAAAAAATAAAAAGTAAATATAAGAACTAGAATGACACCTACTTAAAATATTAAAATTCCATAAATTTCTTAAACCAAACATCGAAGTATTTTTACTGTTTATCTTCCTTAAATGAGTTTATTCCTCCGTTGAAACCCCGAATTACAAAATGATTTTAAAATCATTTTCCGTGTTTGATTTTAATAAAAGAATAGAATTTGAAATCCAATCTAATTTAAAATCTTATTTTATCTAAAAAAAATCCATCAAAATAGGTCAGATTTGATAAGATTATAAATAAAAATTGACATCATTCTAATTTTACCCTAATGGTAAGTCGAATCGAAGAAATAAAAACAAACTGTAAAAAAAACAAAAAAAAACCTATCTTGTGCTGCTAGTTAGTTAACGCGGATATGGATGTGGTGTGTGCCAACGTGCAGAGAAATGAGCATAAATAAAAAAAGAAAAGAGGAGATGAAATAGAAGAAAGAATGAGGCGAGTGACCAATCAGAACATAGCTTAGCTGGTTAACACATATGTATCTAACAATCCTATTTAGATTTCGAATTCCCTCTATCTTATATATATATATATATATATAAGAAAAAAGAGATGCAAATATAGGGTAAAGTTTTTTATTTTTTATTTTTAAGAATTATATATAAATATAATGGTATAATGGTAAAATATATACTTTATTTTCTCTCATTATAGATTTAACAATATCACAAACCTCCCTTTTTCTTTTCTATTGTAATTTCTTGATTATTATATGATGATTTTCTAACTTTCCATTATATAAAAATAGAAATAAATAGACTAAAAACGACATCCCTTATCGATACCACATGGATCTTAAATTAATGAAATTGGGATATGGATTAAATATAATGAAATAGAGCCACTTTGAGGTTTTCTATGAAATGAGGCATGGAATAGAGCCACTACGAATAAGTTCCGTGAGTTACAAGGAAACCTCGAGCTAATATTGGTCATGAGTTGAGAACGTGAATTTAATTCTATAAGACCTAATTTCTCATTGTTCGTCAGTAGCTCAGTAGATTGGTCGACTGTTAACCGATTGGTCATAGATTTCAATCCTATCCAGAGAGATTTGATTGAAAGGGTTTGTTTTGAACGTTAAGAGTAGGTAACTCGTTCTGCTTTGAAATTCATTAAAATTTATAGAGTACAGAAAAGAAAAGAAAAAAGAAATTTTAAGCCCTTCTTTTAAAATTATGGAAAGTACAAATCAAATATAATCAATAGTAAATTATACTTTCGGTCTTTCTAATTCAAGCTTAAATTTTACTTGATCCTCAAATTTGGTCAAATTTTATGAATCGTCCATGTGAATTTTTTTTTCTTATATAGGATTGTCTATATCATTATTATATTCATGCCACATTTTTTTATCAAATGAATTTGTATTTTATATCAAAGCGATTATAGTTCAGCGGTAATTGACATATACTTCAAAGAGGTTGTGAGTTCAAATCCTCTCCCCAATGTGTTGTACTAAAAAAATGAATTTGTATTTTCTACCAACATTAAGATAGTTTCATTAAATGACTTTTTTTCGTTAGATTTACATTTGTTGTACTACAAAAATTTGTGTGCTTATATTCAATTTTTTTTTAATATAATATATGTGGGAGCGAAAATTCGAACTCACGGTCAAAATAAGTATTTAGACTCATATTGACATATCCCAACACATGTACTAATATACATATATATATATATATATAATATCAACAATAAAAAAAATCGGATTTTTTTGGGTCAATGAAAGTCTTCGATCGTAATAAGGAAAATATTGTCTAAATAGGGAAGCTTATCATCTCATAAATTGTAAAATATTTTAGAAGATCAATCGATTCACAATTGAGTTTTCTTTTCTTGTTGACATGGGCGAGCTGATTTTCTCGTTAAAAACGTATATTGGATCTTGGGTTTCTCCACTTGCAGCTTACTCTTAGCGCGAGAGCTCCATCCAACAGCAGGAACATGCTCTAAGAATCGCCCAACAGATTCCTCCACTTCAAATCTGCTTCATATTCCACAAATTCATCGCCTCTGGATTCCCAAACTCGGTTTTGACAATGGCGGGATTAGCTATTGTTTTGGATCTATTAAGGAAAAATCAGAGTCTAAATAAAGCGGAAGGCCTGCACTCTCATGGGTTATTCTCCGCCGCCTCCGCCGCCGCCGCTGCTGCTGCCACCGTCGCTTCCGGAACCCCTTTTGCGTTCAGAGCTTTCTTAGGGTATGTATCGATGTTCCTGGCTTGAATTTGGTGTCGTCGTTATGAACAGGATTGAGATTGATTACCTTTTGATTAGCTTATCTGCTGAATTAGATTCGTTTGTTGAGATTTATAGTTTTGAAGAAGTAGTGGAAATTATAGAAGGTGATTTCATATACAGTAACAGTTGTAAAATTTGATGAAAACTTGAGTTGTTAATGTGTTTATTTAAAAATTAATCTGCAATTGGAAAGGTTTTCTATGCTGGAGACTGTTGTAAGGCTTGTTTTGTTCTGTTTCTGCAAGTCATTGTCAATCAGTTGCTATATCATTGTTTATCCGTTTGAGAACATGTTTGCTTTTTCATTAGTAGTTATCCAGTTGTACATGAATTGGGATGAGTTATTTACTCAAAATTACATCTAAAGCACATTCTTAATGGGGGAGTATGGTGTTTGTTAATCAGAGATGAGAATCTAGCCTGTTAACATATGAACCTACGCCTTCGTACCCCGAGGGTAGCCATGGCAGTAAGCGTTTGGGATGTTTATAGATGTCTTTTTTTGGATACAAGCTCAAAGTAAAAAATTTAATAACTTAAAATCATTGTTGTCTCTGGGTAGTAGAATTAGTGGTGGTGGGCCATGAGAAATAATACAAGGCGTGGATCACCCCAATACCCTAGTTATCAAGAAAGAAATTTAACCTTCATAGAAAGGATTGTAAATCACCATGGGTTGCCCGAGTGGTCATAAAGGGCCAATGAAAAAAGTAAAAAGCTTAGAGGGAATTAGTTCAAATCATGTTGGTCATTATCTAGGATTAATATCCTATGGGTTTTTTGACAACAAAATGTAATAGGGTTAGACGGACGGTTGCTCTGTGTGATTAGTCAAGATGCACACAAGCTGGTCCGAACACTCACAGATAGAGAAAAAAAAGAAGTAAGGATTATAGATTCACAGTCATGCTTGCAACATCACTATTGAAAAATGAAAACTAAATATGTGACAATCTACAAGCATTCTTAGGTTTGTTATCATCAGTCTGCATGCTAGATGCTTTCGCTAACTTCTGCTTATAGAAGAAACTGCATCTTTCTAGACAGTTTATACTATGATTCACCAATGATTGAATACTTACCCTGGCTGGTCTTGCTACAAGTAATTACGGGATTCTGGTTGCTCATTGTGATGCCGGTATAGATGTGACTGAGGACTACCTCTCAAATCTTCGGAGTGCATCAAGGAAAATATTTGCGCATGAATCTCTTCAATACAGTACAAAGGAGTACAAACTTGAATTAAAGCCATTATTTTCAGCTTTTCAACCGAGGATGCTCGGTATGACAACCTTGAGGTCGTTCCTGATGTTTTATTTGCCTCTTTTGGAGCCGCATGCAAAGTTAGAAGATGATGATGATGAGGACTTCTTGAGCGATGCTCAAGAAGAGAAACAGCCTGTAGACTTTGTTGCTCCCCTTAAGAAGTCCATCAAGCAAATTGTTCGCGAGGTCTGTTGAGTTGCTCATTTCCATTTTTCTTTGTGTGAATACTGTTCTTTAGCCAATCTAAAAACATGTGCTTGGTGCTCGGAAGAAATTATCCTTTCCCTATCTTGCCGATCATATAGCTTGGCTTTGTGTGAATACTTATCATTTTCAAAATAGTGAGAATAAAAATTCTTTTATTTCTTTCCTTTAGAAATAAAAGCAATCTGATTTCTGAAAATTCAGTTGTGTGAATCTCTTATTCAAGAATTTATCTGGATTCATTTGTTTATGACTACTCCAAATGCAAACAA